ATATCTCCATTTTATTTACTCGAGTTTATTAAGACTGAAGTGCCTTATATCGATATTTAATGCTCGCGGGTTTTGTTAGTTCAGAATCGATAGATCAGTTTTGATTGGTTTGATTCAGTTTGATTTGGTTCGATTGAGTTTCAGAAATCGAACTCCACACCAAAAGTTCCAGGTTCGATTTGTGTTCGATTGCCGAACCAATCGCAAAACAAATCGAATTATTCGGGTTCTGATTGAGTTTGATTGATTTTTTGGTTTCGGAAATCGTTTGATTGACTATATGCCAGGTAATATCACCTATTTCAATTAAACGTTGTGTCGGAGTCTGATCGAAGCGTAAAAAGCCTACAAAGGGGAACAAAAGAACCGACATGGTAGTCTGGGTATTCATTATCATTAGAATTTGCATATCGGCTGGAAAAATAAATCTACGACAAGTTTTTTATTTTTTTCGCCCACATGATGTATTTGCTTTCGGCCCCGATATTATATAATTTGGTTTTTTCTTCCCATGATTTTTCACAGCTGATTCTGGTAAAATTTAGTTTGGCTAAAAGTTTTTTTTTAAAGCCTTAACTTCTTACTTCTTCAGATTTAAAACAAAACAGAAATGTTAGAAACAATGTTGCTTCATGGGTTACTTCTCATTAGTATTCGCGTGCGTGCAGCATGTCTTCTCTACCTTTTCAGCCCATGCCAACCCATTCGAGGCTTGTCTTATGAGGCTTTTAAAAACATTTCTATTCCGACAACGTTAATTGAAATTGGATGGTATTATACATCTTGTATTTATCCGTAGAAGGTAAAAAAACCACCCTATATTTTAATTAGTTAGTTTATACTTTTGATATCCTAAACTATCTAAGCGGAATAATTGTTATTGTAATTAAAATTTCTATATAGTTTAAACTGAATACTTTTATTTTGAATTTTAGTGTATCTTCATTTTAGTGGTGTAAAACTACTATAAATCTCGGAAACATCATATTATTATTTATCCCCCCCCCCCCCCCTTTTGATTTGCGCACAGTTATTTACATTTGCACGTACCGAATAAGCTGCTGTATCTGCCACCCTAAGTGTTATTAGTGCTTTGATATGAAAATAAATCACTTGTATTGATTAGATAAAGATAAAAGGCCGTCACCACACTCCTTCCTACTCAGGGATCCAAGGGGAGTGGATTGGGTGGCTAGTCACCTCTCTCCCCCAAAATAAAAAAATAGTCTGCAAAAAAAAATAAAAGGGGGCCTAAAAAAATAAATACATAGTGTTACTGGGCAGGTGTAAAAATTGTTTGCTCGATTGTAATAGCTAAACATAATATAGCAATAAAAAGTATTTGCTAAACAGCCACCCTGAACCCCCCCCCCCCCCCCCCCAACTCCCATTTCAAAAATACTGTCCAGATTCGTCCCTGTAACTGAGCAATGCATTTACTGCAGTAAGTACTTACTTGTCACTTACCACTATCTTTGATTTTGCATAATTTAACAATGTATCTTCGCTTTTGCACAGAGATGTTCATTATTAATATAGTTACAGTGAAAAATGTACAATATGGTTGTGGATTAAATTTGTCTGTGGTGTGAATTTTTTTAAAAGCCAGTTTTATTTTCCTTTGTCTCATTATCTGAAAGGAAAGTCACACAAAAATCAGGTCTGGCTTATAAAGTTTCAAACCAAATAATATGCATAATAAAGTAATATTACATTTGTGCAGTAAATAATGTCAGTAGAGTTTACTTGTTTCTTAGGAGGGAAACAGAGGATGGAATAAACTGCGCAGCTTAAAGATACTGCCCAAAGGAATTTTTGTTCAAAACGCGTAAGTTGATAATAATGAACCCCGCTATCATTGAAAATTGTATTCTACAAATAAATTTAAGCAAATTTCAAGTTAGTGTAAATTGGCTACTTTTAAGTTGAACAGTCTTATTATGGTCCTGACGTGAAATGTCAGGAGTCCCCGAGATGTTAAGAGAATGTCATTTTTCAAGGGTGGTAATTAACCCTGACAGTTGTTATGCACCATGTATTGGTGATGTATTTGGGCCTTTTCTAGTATCATCGACAACTGAAAATTATGCAACCGTTCATTATGCAATTGTTCAAACCGAATAAAGTTTGGAACCTCAATATAACGATACGCGATATAACGATATTCCCCCGATATAACAGATCACAATCTGGCAGCCCAAACGTAAAATATACCCCGATATAACGATAAAATCAATCATCGCGCGATGAAAAAGGAGGCCTTAACTCTTGAAAAGATATGACAATACTCCCGGGCAATACTTTTCCTTTCATAATTTAGTTATCATTGCATAAGGACTGTAACGTGTCTGTCAACAGCTTGTTACGATAGGGATTTATACAGCTACACGGAAAAATCAATTATTAACAATACCCCGATATAGACTCTTTTCCGAAAAAATCGTTATATCGGGAATTCGTTATTGCGAATCTCCCGATCATAACGATCTAATTTGGTCGGTACCTTGGTACATAGTTATATCGAGGTTCCACTGTATTGATATTTTAAATTTCATAAAGTTGAAGCCTGTAAAGTTAATAAGGGTTGAAGCTGTTATTGTTAGTTGATTTCCTTGGGCCAATTGGGTCCACTTGGCCCGGGAGAGGGGAGGGGGGGGGGGACTCCCATATAAAAAGGACGCGGGGTGATCGTCGTACCTTTATAGGGTTTAAAATTTGTGGTTTGGTACCGATTAGGGTGTCAAAACCGAGAAAAGACTACCGGTTAGAGTTATTCGAGCTATCCTTTAGGGTACTGAAGCTTGGAAAAGATAGACATAAGCCTTGGCTAACTTTTAGGGGTGAAAATGAATTTTGCGCCCACACCCATAAAACAAAATTCTAGTACCTTTTAAGGGTTCTTTTCAAAATTTCCGACAATCACCCCTGTCACTTTTATATGGGAGTTACCCACACCCCCCCCCCCCCCCGGCAGTCACTGGGTCACCTGTGGCAGGAGTGAAATGTGATAATGAATATGAATTGAAATCATTATGTGAACTGCGGAAATGAAATGAAAGTGATAAAAATTAATGATCATCGCCAGTCTAGTGTGTAATATGTATATTGAACATGTTTTATTTTGCTTAGGCTGTTGTGGAGCCATGTTAATATTGAAGGATACTGTGAGAACCAAACAAAGATATTTTGATTCCTGGAATTCAAAGCGCTATATTTTGAGAAGCCACGACATTCAAAGAGGTTAGTTAAATAACAATAATATTTGGCACTCAATTTTTATGAGAAATATTAACGCGGGACCGTTCTCAAACGACTCCATGTCATCATTTTCAAATGCAAATTTTGGAAGTTTTTCAGGTATATATATAAGCGGATTAAAGTGATGAAAATGTGAATAATACAATGCAGCGAAATTAAGAGTAAATAATACAAGAAAGATTGGTTTCATAGATTAAAACAAAAAACAAAAGGCAAAAAAAACCCAAAAAACAAAATTGAACAAAAAAGTTTAGGCGTCGAATTGAGTCTGATTGAGTAGTTCAATTTCCGGGTCTTCTTGTTTTTAATGTGCGAGCATTTTCGTAGATGAGACATTCCAGCTTCCCGCGGCATTTCTTTAGAACCCTGAAATGTTCCTGCAAATTTGATGGTGTCTCGTTGTGCCTCATCCCGAAGATGGTTTTTCCGATGGCGGAATTATTTATGTTTCAGTCACTGCGTTGAAAGAGGTGGTCGGCCCGCTGTAGCCGACGTAACTTGCATCCACACAGGGGGTTCGGCGTGGTCGCATCACCACAAGTAGCAACTCAATTTTTTAGTCACTAAAATGTTTGACAGCTGCTCCAGCCAAATCTAGGAATTAAGCACTGGTATTTTCTACAAAAAAGTGCAACCACTAATATTTTATACATCTGGGAGGCTATGATAATAGGAACTACAGTCAACTCTCTCTTAACGAACACCTCTATAAGACAGACACCTCTGTAAGACGGACACATCTTGGTGTTGGTCTCTGAGCACCATTTTCAGTCATTGTTACTGATATAAACTCTCTATATAAGCAGGACCACCTCTCTAAGACGGACAGTTTGTGCCGGGTCCGCGATGGTGTTCGTCTTAGAGAGAGTTGCACTCGTACATGCATTGATATCACTTTGGTGTTTTATTTGACAGCTGTTAGAATTAGCATTTGAGGGCAAAAGATAACCTTGGCCACGTCTCGGAGTGTTTTCATGAAGTTGATAATGTCGCTGATTGATACAAGTTCAGGTAAAGTATGAGTTATTGAATGCTCGGTGTACATTACTTTCCTTTTGCATACATGGTTGTACTACAATATCAACACAAGCAATCCTCCATTTGACTGAAAATATACAAAGCTCAGATATTTGGCTGCAGACATTATGGGGCGACAATATTAAACAAGGTTTAAGAACAGGGTTTTAACAAAAACTGTGGTCCTAACCCGACTTTAAAACTGGCCTACACCTAAATGTGTTAACGTCATTTGCATGCGAATAAAAGCGCAGTAATATACTGTAGTACCATATTTCAAAATTTCAAAAAAGGCCTGCTCCCTGTTTGTTGATGTCAAACCCATCCACATTATAGGCTGGTGTAGGTTAAAGCAAGCAATTTGAAATATTTTGTTTGTAGATCACTCTGCGCACGGCAAATGGATATGATGATCAACATTTCATGTAAAGAAAAGAGACTTCTCACAAGCAGTACAGGAACTCAAATTGAGTAACAATGAAGGCAACATGGTTGAGTGTAGTAGAAATATCACAAGGATCTAACTAAAAACAAGGCCAGTTTTAATAGTACTTTCTTTGGCTTCAAAATTTCCTTTCAGTAATATTATTGTTGTAACCCGTTACTGGGTATAGAAGCCATGATACACACTAATGTCTCGAAAAAAAAATGTCCCTGGGTTGACCGCGTTAGATAGTCTAGTAACTGCCTATCGCTAAAGTGGGCCACGTAACTCGAGCGTGGTTGCCCCGGTGGGTGTAGTGGTTATCATACCGCGAACTAGTATTCTCGGGAAGACGTGGGTTTCGAATCCTGCTTAGGGTATACAAATTTTTTTCTTTCATTTCAGAGCCGCTCGTTGTCGACAGCCAAAAATTATTTTATTTACACCTTTTCTCATTTAAGTCTGATTAAAATTTTCCTAAGTATTTGATACTTACCGTATTTCCTCTCGTTAGGCCCGGAGTGCTTTATTAGAAGGAGGGGTGGGTGCTGGGGAGTGGGTGGAGGGGGCTTAAATAGAGGTATTAAACTATTTCCGAGTTGGCAGTGTATTGCTTTACATGTAGTTAGCTACAGATCAATATTCACTGTATAACACAAACTTTCGCTTGCAATTAAATGACAGATATTTTGTAACCAACCGCGAATGTCACCTTGTTTCAATTCACATTGAAACCAGAGAGGGTGGGCTTTACAAAAGGAGGGCTTATTAAATATTTTTATCCCTGAAGAGGGGGAGGGGGGGGGGGGGGCCTTATTAGAAGGAGGGCCTTAATAGAGGGGAGGGGCTAAACAGAGGAAATATGGTAAGTTAGAATCAAACAGACCGGACTGTATGACAATATGCCAAACAGAATATCTGTTAACAACCTAAGGATGCAAAGCAAATAAAATGGTTGACAAATACTCCTTTGATTTTTGACAGCTGTTTGGTTGCCCGCTCTTAACAATGTATGTGGCCGATGCAGAACAAGTCAGAAAGCAGATTGTATCATTTGGTACAAAAACTAGAATGTCATATCAAGTGAGTCGAAATGAATAAATGATCATCGTCAGTTAGTGAATGTAATTTAAGCCATATTTTGAATCATTACTGAAATGTGAAAGAAGGTCAGCAGAGTCTCGACGCTTGCATTGGTTGACCAGCACGTTGTAGGTGTTATGAACACAGTCATGGATCAGTATACAATTTGCACGTGCAACATTGACTCTAACCCTTCTCGCTCCCAGAGTCAAACCTTGAATCAATAAATGTGGTTCTACCTTTCTGAGTCTTGTGGGGGGCATGAAATCTTCAGTGTGTCGTGACCATTCAAATGAAAGCTACTGAGGCAGTACTTTTCAAGTGGTGACTGTTTAGTTTGGACAATTTTGCAAAATGAAATTCAAGATTTTCCTCAGTTTTGAACTAAGCACTCTTGGGAGTGAAAGAGAAAGTTTAACTAGGTACTTACTTACTTAGGCCCTTAGCTCTTCACAGAGCATAGGCCATCAACAAAGCATCTCCATTGAACCCAGTTTTGGGCCCGCCCCAACAGCACCCCCAGTTACAGCCTGCGGCTTTCATTTCATCTTCGACAGTTCTTCTCGCATCCCTCTTGACCTTACCCCTGATCTTGTACCCTGTAGATTCCACTGTAATCTTTGCCTTGTGATATCCAACTTGTTCTTCTTGAGGGTGTGTCTTATCCAGCTTCATCTCCTTCTCTTTACCACTGAGTGTGCTGCACTTGTCCTTGTCCTTTTAGCTTGCATTCTTTAAGCCGACACCGGGAACACCAGAAAGAAGGTGAGTTTGTTATAATCATATGTCATTATCATAAATAGTTTCCTAACACCATCATTCCGGTACTAGGTGAGTGGGAGCATTATGGTTCACTTCAGTTGATAAAGAACCAGTTGGCAGAATGAGAAGTGAGGGTTCAATTTCGGAGTTAGACCATCAGTCATGGCCTAGAAAACTTGAGGATGTACCAAACCTCTGCCAGTGGTCACTCTCAGCTGTGTGGGCAGCTAAACATGGTGCAACTTCAGTGGTGGATCCAGACCTGTTTTATTAGGTGGGGGCCCGAAAAATGTTTCAGCCCTTTGGGTGTTCAATTTGGGTGGGGGCCCGAAAAATGTTCGGCTCTTTGGGCCTTAAGTATTTTTCGTCCACAAGGGGGTGGGTGGGGGGCATGGGGCAGGCCCCCTGGGCCCCTCCCCTAGATCTGCCGCTGGGTTTGGTAATGGTGTTTCTGAAAGGCTTTAGAGTGAATAATACCATCCTGTCAGTTCGTCAAGAGCTAGAAACCAACTAGAACTAGAATGGGTGATTAGCCAACCAAATAGGGTCATGCATCCAAGGTTGAAATCATCCACTTGGACCACAAGCTGGATTTGTAATATGGCTGCAGTCTCCTCAGCTCTGCTCTAACACCAGTTGGGATTTTTAACAAGTTTGTTTTCAGTTTTTCCAAATTAACGCTGCAGTGCTCAATACAGGGAAACATTAAAGTTAACACAATGTTGCACAGTTTTACTCTTGCAGCTCAAAAATCCACTACAGATGTGCCATTGTGTTCACACTGGGAGGCAACACAAGGCCTATCTATGGATTACATGGTAACTGTCCTCCTAAAGGATTGGTCAATGCTTAGCTAGCATGCATCCTAGTTAATAGAGCGAAATGGTTATGAAGCCCGACAAAGTTCTTTGTTATATCTTTTTGTTCGCTTTTTTGCCCTTGACCTGCACAAAACCTGACAAAATACAATAGGTGGTTACGTGTGTTCAAGCAACTAACCAATAGAAACGTTTTTGCGATTACGTAATTCATGCATAGTGTTTGAGCACAAAACAAAAGATTGTGCACGGTCGTGGACCTTCCAACCCAAATCTTGCCAGATTTAATTTGTTTGCTCCTTTGAATTTTGGCGGGCTTCATAACCATTTCCGCTATAAACTATGCATGCATTCATCGACTTAGTTTGAAGTTAAGGGTGCATGTTGTAAGTTGGCAGTGAATAAGATAAGCATAAAGTTGGCACAAGGTGTACAGTAACTGTGTAGATGAGTACAGTGGAACCCCGCCTTACGGCCACCCCGTTATTACAGCCACCTCTTTTTGGCCCAGCGAAATCGCTCTTAATCTCTTGTATAAAAACCTATTTAATATGGCCACCTTGTAATACGGCCACGGCCAGATTTTGCGATCCCCGTGCGCCTATTTTCTTTGTAATTTTACCCCGCATTACGGCCACAAACTCGGCGATGGATTGAATATTGCAAATCATTGACACAATGACTCCGTATGAGCAGGTTTCATTATTTTCACGAATTTGTGTCTGTTTTCGGATCTTCCTGTAAATTGGTTCACGTTGCTCATTCAGTAGCCTGCGAGCGCAGACGTATTTCCGGCTCGAGTTTGTTGCAGGCTACTCATTCAGTCGCTTTTGTTGTACATTTACAATGACCCCACAATTACCCCGTATTACGGCCACCCCGTTATTACGGCCAGCTTTTTTTGGCCCGTAGTTGTCCGTATTAACGGGGTTCCACTGTGTCTAGTATCTTGTTTGTTCTTAGTTGGATGAGCTTTTGGAAGCTACAGGTTTCTTCTTGAAGCCCATTTCTGTTTTCTTTTAGTTTCCCTCCATTATTGGACAGCACTGCTTGTCCTGGGAAGGATCATGGCGTGAAGTGACAGGACTGGCAAGAAATGCATCTTTTGAAATCCGGGAACAGCGGGCCATTCACTTAAGAGTGCACTCAAGGTAAATAACATATTATAACCATTGTTCATATTTGCATACTTAAATTATTGACTTCAAGTTAGGTCTGTAAGTACCTAGAATATAAGGGATCAGATCATGCTGTGCCTAGTCAACAATGCTGTTTGTTTGTTTGTTTGTTTGTGCGATCTCCGTAGCTTAGAAAAATGGACAGGGGTACGCCGGATAATAAAAACGGTACAATTTGGTTAAAAGATAGCCGTGTGGCATAGTGAAACATTTTTGTCGCAATAATTATTTTACTTTTTGATGTGACACCTTTTGCGGGCTTTTAGCAGGCCTATGCAACTCAGGCACGCGGGGGAGGACTCCCCCTTTCACTTACTCGAAAAAAAAAGACTGATAACACAGTTTATGTGTTTAAGAACACTATAAGTTGAGCATCTCTTCAGTATAGTCTCGCCCTACAGATGTTGACCTCGGTCGTCATCGTCATCATCATCATCAATTTTGGTCGAGAGTAAAAGTTTCTGATCACATTGCCATCACAGTTTCTCTGTTCTCAGTTTTGTCTTTTCTTTAAAGCAGCATTTATTCTGAGAAAGAATATTATTTCTTTCAGTGATACATGCTACTCGAAAATAATTCCGAGTTTCCCACAATAGGAGTTCGAACCTATGACCACCTTCCGCAACACCGGTCGGACGCTCTAACACTGAGAACTACAGAGAGACTCGTGACGCAGCTCAAGGGCCATTATAACTAAGGTTCAATACTGTGACAAAACATCCTGCATGACTTGCTAGGATTAGTATTTTTGTCATCCACCATCATTTCTTTGCACAACATTTATTTTATTTTTCAGCACACAATTGTTGTGGATAAAAGGAGATAACATGGCTCTTCCGAGTGAAGGATATTTCCTAAAAA